ATGCGTCCGTGGTGAATGAATCACAACGTGTGTGACTTTACAGTCTTGTTTGCGTTAGCACAATACTTGACGAACAAAAAATAGTAAGCTAAAAGAACGTGAAAGGGAAGGTAGAGGGGAATCATTAAAGAATGCAATCAGTGCTGGAACACTTCAGAGGTCTCGAAGGTATAAACTAACTATTCAAGCAACGTGAAAAAGCATACCGTCGGATGTTTACGACAAAGTGAATTATATTTTCAGCTGTAAACATTCTGACAAAGGCCACTTTTTTGGATGCCTAGCTTATATAAAGTTTTCTATGAAATTGATAAAAAGAAAATTTATTGAAAAACTAATGAAAACCGATATTGTTTAAAAAGGATAATAAAATTATTTTAAAATGCACGGACTCAAATACTGGCTAGGTAGATTAATGTCACGTAAGCAATGCAAACGAAACTTCTAGCTTTCTTCTGAAGAAATATGCTCCATCTTCGACATTCATATTTCGATGTTGTTTTATAACCGTGCTTGAAAAGCAGAGGAGTAAATAACTTTCTAGCTAAATATTTTATCGAGCAAAAACACACCCATAAGTTTGTTCCATGTTAGGAAGGCTAAAAATGTTTTAATAAAAAAGGGATGAATAATTAATTGTGGAAAAAAAAGGTAAAATATATACCTGGATTCAAAATTTGAAGAAATTTGCTATGAAGATATAGTGTGCTTTTTTTATGGAAGATGTACGTTTGTTTCGCCAATGAGCTAGTCAATGTATAAGCTTACGGCATAATACACACACACACACACTTAAAAACAACTGGTTAACATGAAAGGTTATGCAGTATGTTTTGTTATTACAATATTTCAATTATACAGAAAAACGCATGTTGTACTGCTTTTTAATGTTTTACCAATAGAAGAGTGTTCCCCTTAGAAAACAATATTACAGACTATCGTCTGAATAAGTAATACAATACCATCTGGATTTTTCTTTTTTATATAGTTATGGATACTATGAAATTATGTAATACTGTAATATAAAGCTTTCAGAAAATTATACACACAGAATGATCCGATAAAAATAGCTTCATATATATTTCAGTGTATGACTTTTGAGCAGTTCTTTTCTTTCAAACTAATTAAATAAATCAATTCTGCTATAACTAAAATCCGGGGAAGCAATAAAACAACCGATTCAATGTCTTGGAAAAATAAACAAAAATAATTTAGCTTTTAGTTAAACATGAATTGGATCACAATATGCTCATCTTATGACTTTATTCACGCGAAAAATTCAATCAACTTGATGTTTTGTTTGATATTTAATGCGCTTAAAATCTAAGTAATTGCGTATCTTTTTTAAGCTTTCAGTATAGAAAAATATCAGATCAGTTCAAGATTACAAAAACATGGAAAAGTCAATAAAGTGGGAAGTTGGAGTTCATTTAAAACTTCAAAAACAAATACATGCCTAACAAGAACAGAAGACGTACAAGAAAAGCTGTTCTCAACGATTTAAGTTTGTGACGAAACTTTTTATATAGACATTTAGGGAATACTATTTCATTAAACTGGTGTTCGATATAAAGGAAATATGACTCAGGCAAATTGTTTTATATTGGTATTTTCACTATTAATGTAATTAGGAATATGTATTTAATAAAATGTGTTTTTTTTCAATTTACATAAAAGTGATAGACTGCATGGCTGAGACTTTTCAATAACTTAGAAAAAAACAATGCTTATCATTTATGTATGAGATTATTTTATAATAACCTATTTTGTAGCTTTTTGTATGCTTTTTAGATTTATTAAATATGACCAAACGTATTCAATATAATTTACAGAAAAGATGGATTATCTTAAAATGTACACCATCTTACATTATATCTCCTAAAGTGACCTTATTAAAGAAAACTTGAGTATTATTAAAATCCGGAAACCAAATGAGCAAAAAAAAGCTTATTTAATTCAATGTTTAAAATTGTATACTGAGAATGAGCCCCAATAAAGTAGGTATCGTTTGCATCTTTATACCCCCTTTAAGGTTTTGAAGATAGCTAAAGAGCGATATGATGGTCTAATTATTTTTTAATATTATTTTATGTTACAGCTTAATCGATTTGCAGAACACACTACTATGGATGAAATTTAATTCTCCTTTTAGTCTGTAGCGATGTATATTTGAAATGATTAGGTGTTATATACACACACACACACACACATATATATATATATACAATGTGTGTTAGTGTGTATATATGGACGTACACACATATAATCTAATACATTAGTAAATTATCTAACCCACTTATCTTTCTTGAAGTTTAGTCAGTGCTGTGCTCCTTTTACTTGAAGGCTAAGCTGTTCAAACTTGTGGACTTGTAAAGTTAAATATATTCGTCGGACTAAAGATAAAATGCTGCTAAGTAAGTCTGGAGATGTTATGATCGCCAACAAATAAATGTTGTTCTATTTATGTTTGAGTTCTGTTTTAAATATATTTTCTTAAGTAGCTTGTTAATCTGCGTAAAGGGAAGACAATATGGTAAATTTTATATATTCCTTTAACGGAATTATAATGATGGCCCCATTTAACTGTTAGTTTATTTATTTAAAGATGAAGCACGTCACAAGTTGACCTAACTACCGTTGCATGAGTAAATGTGCCTAGATAAGTCGAGATTGATCTGTCTAGGCACAGACTAGACATTTCTCGAACTTCTATTATATCAGTGGCATTTCGTAAGCGCTTAGGAATACGGCAGGTACTGATGTTATGGTTATCTTCTGTATACGTCTTATACAGATTAAAGTCAATATTAGTTAAACTGGATTTCAAAATACATAATACGTAATGTCGAAGCCAAAACAGGATAGAGATTCAAAAGATCAACTTCTATTAGGAATAAAACGATGCTAGGGGAGCGATGTCGTAGGAAGAGAAGCAACTTAAGAACATGCTACACGAGGTATCAATGACATTATAATGAGCTCAAAATGTACAGATAAAGGTATCTATTACAACATTAAAGATACAACTTAAGAACATGCCACATGAGGTATCAATTGCATTATAATGAGCACAAAAATATACAGACAAGGGTATCTATTACAACATGAATGCTTATCAAATACATATAGATTTTCCTTAAAAGGTAAAGTACACATCCAAAAGATATTCACGTATCTTGTGCACACCATAAATTGTTAAAGTAACGCTTATAACATTTTTCACAGAGTAAATACACATTGAGGAATCTCTTACAAAGCACACATGAATAACATACTGAAGTATCCCTAATAACGTATAGCGAGTACCAAAATCATGCGAGGTGCCATTTATAATGTACATTCAAAATATATAAGCTATCTCTTACAATGTAAAGTTAATATGAAAAACACGTTGGAGTATTCTTTATAGAGTCAACAGTCCGTGTATTATTATTAGTTCTAAAGAGACATACCTGTTGCATACGTTATTATGACATTCGGTTTTTATTTGTTCAAGATTTCCGCTACTGTTTCATGAGAATAGGCAAAAGCTTACATGCAAAGCTTAAACAAACAACACCAAATGAATTAAATATGAATAAGAACTCGTGCAAAGTGTATATTTTTCGAGCTAAAATGTCATCAGTGTTTATATTGTTAGTTTTAGAGTAAATTAACGTTCTTAGTATTTTTTATGTAAGTTCTGTAGTAAATGAATGTTACTGTTAGTTTGAAAGTCAATCATTGAATCAGTGTATTTATCATAAATGAATATAATTCATGTTTGCATTCTTGACTTTAGAATAATTAATGGGATGTCCCCAATGTTTGTATTGTTAGCTCTAGAGCAAATTATTGCATTCAGTATCTGTATTGTTATCTGTAGAATAATTAATGATATAAGATTTGTGGTGTTCGCTCCAGGTGAAAATGAATACCATAGTTGTTTGTATATATTTGTTAGGCCTAACGTAAATGCCACCCGCAGTGTTAGCTCCAGAAGAAATTAATGTCAGCAGTGTACGTAATAGCTATAAAGTAAATGGGAAAATACTGGATGTTTCGTTGCTCATCTAGAATAAAGTAACACTGCCAGCATGAGCATTGTTAGTCTTAATGTATATGAATGGTCAGTAGCGTTATATCTTTTGCTCTAGATTAGTTGAATAATTACTAGAATTTGTAAATTTAGCTTAGAAATTAGACATATAATCATCAGTACTTAATTTGCGTTTATAGCTTTAAAGAGGATGAATTAACCATAAATGTTGGCCTTAGTGTAACAAGCTTATCAAAGTTCATATTTTCTTATTTTGTAGTGAAAGGGTAGCCAAAAATGATTTAGTGGTGATTATAGCAAATATGAATAATAGGTAACATCTATATTACAGTAGCTCAGTAATTACGGTGCTTGATTGTACAAATCAAGTAAATTCCCGTAATGCTTACTAAGTTTCATAATTTAGCTACACTTAAATCCGGGAACACAAACTTAAAGCTAACATATTAGTGGCAAATTATATCTGAACAGAAAAATAATCAAAACATTTTCCTAATTTAGGCCTCTTTTAGTCAACAGAGAACTAAATAAGACGCGCTAATCGTTTAAAAAAGTGAAAATAATAAATAGGATTACATCTTGTTTTTTTTATCAATTACCTTAATTTGCCTTTCTAGTCAATTGAAGTGAACTCAATCGTTCATTGCATCAATCATTATACGAGTACAAATATTATAGAACGTATTCTCACAAAAACGTAAGAGTAAAATATTATAAAACGTATTGTCCCAAAAACATAGGGTACCGTCATACAAGTCCATACAGCTCTTGAACATCGGCTTTCTAATGTTTAATTTTAAATAGAGAATTTTTCAATGAATGAATTATCTTTCACATCCATAGAATTGGTATTAAGACAAACGTACAAAAATATTACACGTTAATCATTTGATAAAACACGTTATGATAATATTTAAGGTCTGTTATAAAAATAAAATATTTGATAAGGCTAAACGCTTACCTCACATGTACCATGGTCGTTGTATTTTTGAAAGTTTGCCGTTCTTAATAGATTATAAGAAGCAGATTCGAAGAAATGCTGAGACACTAACCTTTTCTGTACTCATGTACGTACATGTGGTTATGGAAGAACTACCTCAGTTAAACATAGCGCAGTGTTAATGATTTTCTTTGCTGTATCTCGTCCTATGACTTATATAAATATAGAAAAAAAACACAAAAAAATGGTTAAAATTGTATTGTCGTTTCCTTCTCCACACTTATTACTCGCACTGAAGAAGTCTTCCGCTATTCCCTTCACCAGACGAGCACTTATATTGGCTGTCTGATTGTTATTGTATCAATCCGCCAGAACTTGTTGTAGTGATGCTTGAATTTTAATATCCAACCGCAATATAACGTAGAGTCACAAAATAATTACTTAATAGTAATATTTGTATGAGCCAAATAAATTTCAGTAATAACTTGTATAAAACTAATGGAAAAAAAGCATTACGAAAATTATTTTAATGTTTTCATTCATTACTAGCTCAGGTTATAGGGTTTTTATTCATTTCTATCAAGACTTTTTGAACCTACGTGTTTTTCTAACATCATGAATGTACTACAACATAATAGGGAATACGCACATCATGCAATGGTGTTTACCAATCATGTAAAATAAGAATAATCACACAAATGTAATGATTTAAAGCTAGCTTAATTTTATTCTGTCTGATTTACTTAAGAAACAAAAAAAATGAATGTTTTCTTTTGTGTTTTATACGTTTTGATTAGGCTTTTTAAGATTATAGGAACTCAGATCGTTTTGTTTGTTTGTTATTGAATTTTGCGCAAAGCTACACAAGGGCTATCTGCGCTAGCCATCCCTAATTTAGCAGTGAAAGACTACAGGGAGGGTAGCTAGTCATCACCATCCACCGCCAACTCTTAGGTTCCTCTTTTATCTACGAATATTGGGATTGATGTCGCATTATAACGCCCCCACTACTGAAAGGGCGAGCATGTTTGGTGGGACAAGGATTCGACACCGCGACCCTCAGATTGCGAATTAAGCGCCCTTACCACCTGGCCATGCCGGGCCAGATCGTTTGGTAAAACATAACACAAGACTTACGAGCTAAAAGAATAAGTTATTCAAAAACAAGATATTATTCCTCAATCTGTTTGCTGTTTGCATGTTTTCTGTATTTAGTTACCAATGCAGGTCAGTAGTGTGATTTTGTAAGTAATTAAAACAAGGTTTTTCTTTATAAATATAGGGTTTTATTTATAATTTATATAATTATATACTAAATCATTGGTATAAAAATAAATATGTTCATCTCATGAACTGGTTAAATATGAGTTAAATTTAATTATTTTTATAAGTTCATGCTGCAACACTTATTAAAGAAAGCTAGAAACGTCAGCTATGACTTTTTACTTTCTTGAACTCAGCATATTTTTATCTTTTAAAGAGATAAGAGTATGCTTAAAAAATAATAAAATCATTATGTATCACTAACACACAAAAAAATATGTTTCTTCGAACAAAATTCACTGTTAATCTCTTTTTTATATAGAAGCTTCAAAATGATTAAAAATAACATCTCAAAATTCACTTTATGAGCTAACATACAATTTATCGAAGTTCAATACGAACAATACACCTAGCTATGAATCGTTCATGCAGACTGTAATGGCTGAAGGAGTATTATGAACATATTTCTCGATGCGTAACATGAGTGTTGCATTTGTTTTTGTTTATAAAAGAAGAAGGAAAAAACGTTACAAAGTTCTTAATTCAAAGTACTCATATTGCATCCTGCCATTCATCTACATATGAACGTTTAGCCAGTAGAAAACCACATTTAATTTTATTTTATTGTGTGATTGAAATATGTGCATGATGGGATATCAATTAAAACTAAATTAAGTAGATAAAAAAAAGACAAAATGCCCCATTGCATTTTGTATTTGCACGCATTTTCAGATGCAACTTTATCCGATATAGAAGTGTAAAGCACGGTAATAAATGTTTGAATAATTTAACTAATTATTTTGTACGCTTCTAATCGTTTTATTAAAAATAATTAAGTATTATTCTACTTATCCTTCTTGCTCGTCACTGAGATAAAACGTTTCTTTTTTTTCTTTCGTTTCTTGATATGAATTTAAATATATTTAGATACGTTTCAAGCTTTGTTTGGAAATGTTTCATTAAACTTTAGTAGATATCAGCTCAAAATAAACATTGAATGATGTGGCAACAACATCACAATAGAGATTAAAGCTTCTTATCAGACCACAAACATGGAAAGTCATTTTTATCTATGTCAGCTGCAATGATTCTTATATTTAGAAGTATATTATTTATTATTGGAAACATTGCCCTACAACCATAAAACAGCTACACGAAGCACATGTACCTTAGAAGTACACATTTCCATCAAAGATATATACAGCTTTGTAAAAAAGAGCACAACATGATTGTTGTTTATTCATAAAGTGCAAAAGATTAAGCAAACTTAGTTTGCATGTTTTACAACGACTTTTTGTCTCACGATGTATTTAGTGTCCCACTGTAGGTCTCTGATACATGGTTATTAAACTCACAGAGGGAGACAACACTCTCTACATTTTTTATAACATTTTGTGATGGAAATTATACCTATGAAAATAGTAGGCTCTTCTGTTTAATGTTGAGGCCAAGGTAGTAAGCGCATGCAGGTTCAGTCCTTCTCAACTAGGACACTGAAAGCTTGAAACAACCAGGATTTACCAGGTTCTAAAACCTATTTTCCATGATCTTTATTATCCTGTGACGGAGTCTAGAAACGTGCTTGAACTTACAATTCGTAATATCTCTATCATCATTCATATTACTTTCATAAACGAATATGTTATATTTGGGGAAAATGTGATTGGATAACGCGATTTGAAGCTTCTTTGATAGGCTATGTTTGTTGGTACAAGTTATTATGGAACGTGATGACTAGGGATAAAAGCATAGCGTGTAATGTAAATCTGATGGTATGTTATAATGTACCTCCACCGTTCAAGAACACCACCACTGCAGGGCGGTGGGTTATGATGTTATTTGCTGAAAGTAAGAATATAAGAAATAAACCGTGAAAAATGATAATGAGATGATTAGAAGAACAAGAGAAACAGAAAGAAAAAATCGATGAAATCTGAGAATAAAGCAGAGACTATATATATATGCATAAATAAAATTTAAAAGACTTAAACAAAAACAAATAACCCCGAAAGGCTATCGAAAGGAATGCATAAGAGAATATGTTGGACAAAGCGACTAAAAGAAATAATTAGCTAAACAAGAAATTAGGAAACAAAAAGTAAGATACGTAGAAAAACAGAAAATGTAGAAAGATAGAGAAACTAAAAAGCAGAAACCCCGGAAAACAATAAAGGTAAGATATAGGCAGATGTTATAGAGAGAACAATAAGTACAAAGAAATGTGAGTGAGAAATTCCGATAGTAATGACCAATTCTTTTCTCATGCAGAAGTTTAATCGTGCCTCATAGCAAAGTGTTTTTCTTTTACACTGACCGGCACATGCATTGGCCGTACCTAACGGATTTTTTTTTCTATTAGAAAACATCTAAATGAAATGGTCAAGACAGCACTATTAAATAGCTTTAATCAGCTTTGATCACCACTTACACATCTTAGAGATAAACAGCAATAAGACTAAGAATATTTCTAATTAGTATTATGTGAGTAGTTGTGGAAATATGGTACCAGTTTTGTCCGGTTCTATGACTGGAGCAGAGAAGTAAGCAAATATTGACTGAACGAACCAGTATTCATTATAAAGTTTTCTTCATTATCCATTCAAGCCGTCTCCAAAGTTTTATGAGCTAGTATTTTGATCAGACAGCAAAATAAGTGACCGTTTTGTCCGGCAGTTTTTCTGACCAGTGTCTTGATTAGAACAAGCAACAGATAACGACTGGATTTACTTAAGAAATGAAAAACTAATATCGATAGAAACGTGAACCAGTCTCTGCTTATCTAGTAGATACTTTATTTCACAAAACTAAAAACTCTTAACCCTCATTTCATTGATTATTAAAGGTGGAATTCGGCAGTTAAACAGTTAAAAAATAGGTTCTAGACTATTCAGCTTGTAATGAACATTCGCAAGTCCTTTAAAAAAACATTAAAGTACTAAGTAAATAAATTTTAGACTATCTACTAAATTCTTGTATTAAAAGTAAAATACAAAAACGCTTCTTTTTGGCACAATGAAAGATAAAGTCTTCGTTAGTTGTTTCAGCCGACTAGTTATCATCATCAGAGCTTGTGAATACAATGTTAGTCTGGGCTATATTAAGTTCCAGTTTGGAGTTTAATGTAAGCTATTTGTTTGAAGCCTAATATAGACTAAGTTACATTGTATTCACAAATTATGTTATCGAAACTGGTAGGCTGAAACAACTAATAATGATTAGCTTTCACCGTGAAAAAAGAAAAGAAATGGCGTTTTTTCCTTTTAATATACTGTAGCACAATGGGCATGAAAAGAAATTATACTGAATTCTTAAATTTAAATTATTACGCATTCAGTTTAAAAGTGAAATAACTTTAAATTCGTTATTGCGTAGGTTTGTGTTGTTTACTATATATATTTGTGTGTTTCGTAATTTATACAGCAGTATATACAGGATTTTATCTTTATAAATTTAGCAGAAGGACTGCTATACTAACCACTTACACTAAGAGGATTAGAACTGGCACCCTAATTTAATCTCTAGTCAGGTTTGAATTTGTGTGAAAGAGCTTAGAAGTTTATTATATAGAAAGAATTTTGATAATAGTGTTTTCTAATTTTTTTTTTAAAGGAGCAGATCTAAATAAGCAAGGCACGCAAGTATTGAGATAATGTTTGAGGGACGACATAATAAAACATGGTCCTCTTGTTTCTGTGGAAATCATATATAAAGAAAAATAAAACTGGAGTTTATTACTGGCGTTCCAGGTTAGGTTTAACTGGGTTAGTGAACTTGTAGGATATCGATAGCTCATAACGAAGCTGTAAAAACGAAATTTTGAGATAATAAAGATACATTCTGGAGATATACGTCATTATTTCATTTACCTGAATAGATTTGTTTGTTTGTTGTCAAGCGCAAAGCTACACAATGTGCTATCTGTGCTCTACAAATAGCGGTCATCGAAACGCTCTATTATAGCGCCATAATCCCTCAGATTTTTCAATGAGCCATCGGGGGTGCGAGGGGGCTACATGTCA